AAATTATCAAAAAGTTGGTAGATGGGATACTTATTTTAGAATTGAGGGTCTATTTTAAAGTGAGTTTTAATTAATGTAAATCAAATTATTATTTATTTTTAAATTTAGTGGCGGTGGATCATATGAGAATGGGGGTATTAAGAATGGTATATGGATTGAGCTAAGTGATAATTTTTATAAGTAATTAAATTGTTTACTATTTTAATTATATAGTTATAGTTAAGTTACCTATGAGGGAGAATACTAAAATGGAAAAAAAATATAGTAATGGGTTACCAAATATAAATAAAAAGATTAATAAGAATAAATGTACTAAATTAATTATTCTTTAATCTGATATTAGTGGTGGCGGATATTATGATGTTAAAGGTATTAAGCAAGGATATTGGATTGAGTTGAGTGATGATTTTAGATAGTATTAAAAATAATGATATTATTAAATAGGGATAGCTAAATCACTTATCATGGTTAGTATAAATAAGGAAGTAAAATAGGTAGATGGGATATCATTCTTAGGAAGTCTAATAAATTTGAATAAATGTAGTTTAATTTATTAATCGACTATATATTTTTAGAGGAGGTGGTTTTTATAATGAGCAAGGTTTTAAAATTGGAAGTTGGGTTGAAATTAACGAGTGTTTTTCTAAGTAATTTTATAAATATTTTATCATCTTTTTAGTTTAAGTTAAGTTACATATTAAGGAGAATATTTTTTTGGTAAGAAAACTGGTAAATGGAATATCTATTGGAAGAATGATATAAATTTGGAAAAATTGTATCAAAATAAATTATTATTTATTTTTTTATTAGAGGTGGTGGATTATATGACGAAAATGGTTTAAAGAAGAGGATTTGGATCGAATTGGCTAATGATTTCAATTAGTAATTAATATATATTTATAATTTCAATATTAGAGATAAATAGGTCACTTATTAAGGGGAATATAATTGTGGATAAAAAGTTGGTGTATGGGATACTTATTTTAGATTTTCTGAAAGATTTGAAGAAATGTAAATATCAATAGTATCTTCTTTTATTTTAGAAGTTGTGGATTTTATGATTAAGAAGGAATTCAGAATGGAACCTGGATAGAGTTGGATGAAGATTTCAAAAAGTATTAAAACTGTTAAAATGAATAATAATAGCTCCAAATAAATCATTCATTAGGGATAATATAAAGAAGGTAAAAAGATTCGAAAATGGGTAGAATTAAAGAGAGAAAAATGGAATATTGAGTAAGGATTTAAAAAATAGTATAAATTATTATTTAAATTAAAGAGAAGAGTTGAATTATCAAGAATGAATAGAGAATAAGAAATGGAAGGATTATACATAATATTTATAATAATATTCCAAATTACTTTAGTTTAAATTTTTTTAATGTTTAAGTTCTTTTTGATTATTTCTTATTTTGATTTCTGAAGAATGATTTAATTAAATTAGAATTTAACTAAATTGATAATATTATATCAAAAATAATTTGTGAAATATTAATACAAATTATAAATAGTACTATTAATTAGTAATAATTTTAAAAGTTAAATTAACAATTAATAAAAATTACTTATTATTATACATTTTGGATAACAATAGTTTAATATATAATTGATACTGCTATGGTATACAATATGTATGTTCAAAGTAATTTAATAAAAGAATATCATTAAGTGAACATTATTTAATATAAGAGTTGATTAAATTATCCTTTGAACTTAAAGCAATAAAATAAATAAATACTTATATCTATTTCATAATTTGATTAATTTATTTGATCAAAATATTCAATTAAATTTTCATATCTCCCAATTTTTGGTTTCTTAAATTCCATAAAGAAATATTGGATTGTAACAAAATATAACATTCAAATTTTTTATATCTAAGTAAAATCAGAATTTCCAGATCCAAATTTGAATAATTATATATCATTAAATCAAAGAGTATATCTGATTCATTAAAGTTCTGTCAAATATATAAATAATAAATATATTTAATGATGATTCAGCCCCAAATTATGAATATATATATTTTATTACTGCCTAATACCAAGGTTGAAATACTTTTTGGGTCAATTAATAGAATTTGATTTACAAAATTAAAATGTATATTTCCATTTATTTATCTTTATTATCACTTAAAAAAGTAATGAAATAAAATTTAGTGTAAAATTTCACACTTATTATAAAGCTAAATTAATAAAGTATAATACACTTGAATTTGTTAAAGCAATAAAATTATTAAGTCAATTTTTAGAATAATTAAAAATATATATAAATACTAGCTATTCTATGTTATTTTGTTCATCCTACAATCCTGGAGAATCCTTTTTTATTAAATTTAATAATTTTTTTTTTTTATAATATTCAAACATATTTCCTCGCAGTCTCATCATAATCCATATTTTTCTGAACTATTATTAATAAATAAAATTGAAAATATTTTTTCTGATTCATTTTCAAGATAATTTTGGTGAAAGACAAAAAAATGATTGCCATCAACATTAAAATATCTTGATAGTTATCCTTGAAAATTTCATCAAGTAATTGAAAATAGCCAATCAATTTTCTCAATCTCTTCTTTCCTAATATTTTATTACCTAAGTTTTGATAGTGAGANAAGGATTTAAAAAATAGTATAAATTATTATTTAAATTAAAGAGAAGAGTTGAATTATCAAGAATGAATAGAGAATAAGAAATGGAAGGATTATACATAATATTTATAATAATATTCCAAATTACTTTAGTTTAAATTTTTTTAATGTTTAAGTTCTTTTTGATTATTTCTTATTTTGATTTCTGAAGAATGATTTAATTAAATTAGAATTTAACTAAATTGATAATATTATATCAAAAATAATTTGTGAAATATTAATACAAATTATAAATAGTACTATTAATTAGTAATAATTTTAAAAGTTAAATTAACAATTAATAAAAATTACTTATTATTATACATTTTGGATAACAATAGTTTAATATATAATTGATACTGCTATGGTATACAATATGTATGTTCAAAGTAATTTAATAAAAGAATATCATTAAGTGAACATTATTTAATATAAGAGTTGATTAAATTATCCTTTGAACTTAAAGCAATAAAATAAATAAATACTTATATCTATTTCATAATTTGATTAATTTATTTGATCAAAATATTCAATTAAATTTTCATATCTCCCAATTTTTGGTTTCTTAAATTCCATAAAGAAATATTGGATTGTAACAAAATATAACATTCAAATTTTTTATATCTAAGTAAAATCAGAATTTCCAGATCCAAATTTGAATAATTATATATCATTAAATCAAAGAGTATATCTGATTCATTAAAGTTCTGTCAAATATATAAATAATAAATATATTTAATGATGATTCAGCCCCAAATTATGAATATATATATTTTATTACTGCCTAATACCAAGGTTGAAATACTTTTTGGGTCAATTAATAGAATTTGATTTACAAAATTAAAATGTATATTTCCATTTATTTATCTTTATTATCACTTAAAAAAGTAATGAAATAAAATTTAGTGTAAAATTTCACACTTATTATAAAGCTAAATTAATAAAGTATAATACACTTGAATTTGTTAAAGCAATAAAATTATTAAGTCAATTTTTAGAATAATTAAAAATATATATAAATACTAGCTATTCTATGTTATTTTGTTCATCCTACAATCCTGGAGAATCCTTTTTTATTAAATTTAATAATTTTTTTTTTTTATAATATTCAAACATATTTCCTCGCAGTCTCATCATAATCCATATTTTTCTGAACTATTATTAATAAATAAAATTGAAAATATTTTTTCTGATTCATTTTCAAGATAATTTTGGTGAAAGACAAAAAAATGATTGCCATCAACATTAAAATATCTTGATAGTTATCCTTGAAAATTTCATCAAGTAATTGAAAATAGCCAATCAATTTTCTCAATCTCTTCTTTCCTAATATTTTATTACCTAAGTTTTGATAGTGAGATACATTCGAATATTTTGAATACAAAAATATTGGGAGTATATTTTCTGTATCTTTTTATTAATTTTAATTTTCCTTTATAAATATAAATCATCTATGTCGCTAAATCAAAAATTTTGAACCAATTTTAATAGTATTTATTACTGTACCTGCTTCTTAAACATTTAAAAATAATTATAAATTGTATTAATTAACATAAAGCTAAATATTCACCTACAAAATTGTCTTCTTTAATTATATATAAATTTCTAAATCAACCATATAATCGTTGAAGATATTAAATGATCAAATTTCTTTATACATACTATAAAAAAATAACATTAGATGGATTTATTTAATTGTAAAGAATACTTATATGAGATTATTCTCAAATTTTATAAAACCAAATAATCAGAAATTACCTAGCTCTGCTTTTTAGATTAAATGATAAATTAATTCAATATATCATATAATCATATGGATTCTTTAATTTAAATTATAATTATACTTTAAAACTTCTTCGTTTATATAAACTTATCTTTTAAATTTAATCAAGCAGAATGATTACTTTTTGATATTAATTCTATAATCATTATTAAATTGATTTTAAATAAGATAAGTTTTAGGATTCATTTTCATTTTCACAATTTTTTCATTGATTTACAAATTTTAACTAATTATATTACTATCTACTAAATAAAAAGATATAAAATTTCTTAATTATCAGAATTATTCCTATTTATTGAGTTAATTCTTTTGTTTAATCAATCTCAATAAAATATTTAATTTGATTACCTTTCATTAAGAAAACATTAGTAGTTTATTTAATATCTAACTATTCAGAATATGCAGGTACAAGAATTTTAATGATTTAGTATTTCTTCTATTTTATTTTTTTGTCAAATTAAGATATGAAAAATTTTAAAAATGCTTAAAGCACATAATATAATAATTATATTTAATTTTGATATATATATAATGCAAAAATGAAATATTTTTATAATTTTACCTTAACATTGAATTATATTTATAGATTCATATTATTTTCTGTTTTATGCCATTTTAATATTCGACATCAATTATTTGCTACCAATAACTAAAAGATAATAATTGATTATTAATACTTAGAAAAGTTTTCATGTATTTCTATCCATTTTCCATTTTTAAAACCATCCTCTTAATATATACCTCCTCCACTAATTAATGTCTTTAATGAAAATTTACAGTGTTTTATAAGTATATTCATTACAACCTCTAAAAAATGAATTCCATCTTCCTTGTTTATAACCATTTTGATATTCTCCCACTAAAATGACTTAACAATTTCTAAAAATAAATCCAATACATAATACTCTGAAAAATTTTCATATAATTCCAACCATACTCCATCCCTTTTTCCATTGTTATCATATTATCCTCCACCTCTAGTTTAATATAATAAAATGTACATTTTATGAAAATTTAATGAATTATTGTGCTTATAAATATAATTCCAATTTCCATAAATTTTTCCATTCATATAACTACCTATCTAAATAGCTTAACAGTTTCTAGATCAATTACTAATTATTTTACTCTCTGTAATTATCTAATAACTCATGCCATTTTCCATTTTTCATTTCACCATCATCATATGTACCACTACCACTGTCATTATATATATATATATATTTACATGATTAACGTTATTTCTTTACAAATATATTTTAAGATGGACCAAGTTCCAACTTTTCTTCCATTTTTGTATTCTCCTTCATATAAAATTGATCGAGATCTATTATAATAACTATTTTTATTACGTTGAGTAATTTTCATCTATATCAATCCACTTACCTTGTTTCTTACCTTCAATATTGTATTAGCCACCACCTCTATTAAATAGCCATTAAATTACATTAATTAATTTTAATTAAATGTATCCCATTTGTATAATTTCTTTCCTTTATGATATTAGCCAGTATGAAATACTATACATTCACTAATTTTATATTAATTAAAACTTACTCCCAAAAATTGACATCTACTTCCTTCCAAATTCCATTCTTTTAACCATCTTCATCATAATATCCTGATCCTCTAAAGATAAAATTTTATGTTACATAGTCTAAAATTCTTCATCTCCATATTTTCTATACAATGTATTCCAATTTCCAATTTTTTAACCATGTTAATAAAGTCCTTCATTAATTACTACTGAAAAACTTAACAATAAAAATGTATGTACTCTTAAAAATTAGCATGCAGCTCTTTCCACATACCATTTTTAACATCAAAATCATCATATACTCCTCCACCAATAACAATATAATTGATATTTCCTAGTTGCTAGTGCAGAGTTTCCCATTTTCCACATTTTCTTCCATTTTAATATTGACCAACAAATATTACTTAACAAAAGCTGATATTGAAGACGATTAAATACTTAAAAAAATGTTCATGTGGTTCAATCCATTTACCATCTTTTAATCCATTTTCATTATAAACTCCTCCACCTCTATAAAATAATTCAATTTTTACATTTATTTCTTTTTATTAATTAAATTCCAAAATCCAATTCTTTTTCCTAATTAATATTCCCCAACATAAAACATTTCAGATAATCTTCATTATATATCTAAATAATGTACTCATAAAAATTAGGATGTAATTCAATCCATTTTCCAGTCTTTAATCCATCATCATTAAAATAACCTCCTCCTCTATATTTCTTTAATTATATTTACATTATCTTCTCTAAANTTTAATTTAAATTATAATTATACTTTAAAACTTCTTCGTTTATATAAACTTATCTTTTAAATTTAATCAAGCAGAATGATTACTTTTTGATATTAATTCTATAATCATTATTAAATTGATTTTAAATAAGATAAGTTTTAGGATTCATTTTCATTTTCACAATTTTTTCATTGATTTACAAATTTTAACTAATTATATTACTATCTACTAAATAAAAAGATATAAAATTTCTTAATTATCAGAATTATTCCTATTTATTGAGTTAATTCTTTTGTTTAATCAATCTCAATAAAATATTTAATTTGATTACCTTTCATTAAGAAAACATTAGTAGTTTATTTAATATCTAACTATTCAGAATATGCAGGTACAAGAATTTTAATGATTTAGTATTTCTTCTATTTTATTTTTTTGTCAAATTAAGATATGAAAAATTTTAAAAATGCTTAAAGCACATAATATAATAATTATATTTAATTTTGATATATATATAATGCAAAAATGAAATATTTTTATAATTTTACCTTAACATTGAATTATATTTATAGATTCATATTATTTTCTGTTTTATGCCATTTTAATATTCGACATCAATTATTTGCTACCAATAACTAAAAGATAATAATTGATTATTAATACTTAGAAAAGTTTTCATGTATTTCTATCCATTTTCCATTTTTAAAACCATCCTCTTAATATATACCTCCTCCACTAATTAATGTCTTTAATGAAAATTTACAGTGTTTTATAAGTATATTCATTACAACCTCTAAAAAATGAATTCCATCTTCCTTGTTTATAACCATTTTGATATTCTCCCACTAAAATGACTTAACAATTTCTAAAAATAAATCCAATACATAATACTCTGAAAAATTTTCATATAATTCCAACCATACTCCATCCCTTTTTCCATTGTTATCATATTATCCTCCACCTCTAGTTTAATATAATAAAATGTACATTTTATGAAAATTTAATGAATTATTGTGCTTATAAATATAATTCCAATTTCCATAAATTTTTCCATTCATATAACTACCTATCTAAATAGCTTAACAGTTTCTAGATCAATTACTAATTATTTTACTCTCTGTAATTATCTAATAACTCATGCCATTTTCCATTTTTCATTTCACCATCATCATATGTACCACTACCACTGTCATTATATATATATATATATTTACATGATTAACGTTATTTCTTTACAAATATATTTTAAGATGGACCAAGTTCCAACTTTTCTTCCATTTTTGTATTCTCCTTCATATAAAATTGATCGAGATCTATTATAATAACTATTTTTATTACGTTGAGTAATTTTCATCTATATCAATCCACTTACCTTGTTTCTTACCTTCAATATTGTATTAGCCACCACCTCTATTAAATAGCCATTAAATTACATTAATTAATTTTAATTAAATGTATCCCATTTGTATAATTTCTTTCCTTTATGATATTAGCCAGTATGAAATACTATACATTCACTAATTTTATATTAATTAAAACTTACTCCCAAAAATTGACATCTACTTCCTTCCAAATTCCATTCTTTTAACCATCTTCATCATAATATCCTGATCCTCTAAAGATAAAATTTTATGTTACATAGTCTAAAATTCTTCATCTCCATATTTTCTATACAATGTATTCCAATTTCCAATTTTTTAACCATGTTAATAAAGTCCTTCATTAATTACTACTGAAAAACTTAACAATAAAAATGTATGTACTCTTAAAAATTAGCATGCAGCTCTTTCCACATACCATTTTTAACATCAAAATCATCATATACTCCTCCACCAATAACAATATAATTGATATTTCCTAGTTGCTAGTGCAGAGTTTCCCATTTTCCACATTTTCTTCCATTTTAATATTGACCAACAAATATTACTTAACAAAAGCTGATATTGAAGACGATTAAATACTTAAAAAAATGTTCATGTGGTTCAATCCATTTACCATCTTTTAATCCATTTTCATTATAAACTCCTCCACCTCTATAAAATAATTCAATTTTTACATTTATTTCTTTTTATTAATTAAATTCCAAAATCCAATTCTTTTTCCTAATTAATATTCCCCAACATAAAACATTTCAGATAATCTTCATTATATATCTAAATAATGTACTCATAAAAATTAGGATGTAATTCAATCCATTTTCCAGTCTTTAATCCATCATCATTAAAATAACCTCCTCCTCTATATTTCTTTAATTATATTTACATTATCTTCTCTAAATATATACTATTCCACTATCCAATTTTTTTCCCATCTTAATATTCTCCTTCATAAAATATTTTGGCTTTTCTATTAGAGTTCAGATTCATTTTACTCCCAAAAATTTTCAAACAATTCTATCCATTTTCCAACTTTAAGCCCATCATCATTGTAAAGTCCACCTGCATCTATTCTTTATTACTTCCAAAAAAATTTCCATTTTCCTTTTCTTTTATTATTCTATTAATCATATTATCCTTTTGATGTTAAATGTTTCACTAATTCTAGGTTTGTAACAACATCGTTTTGTTTTAATTAATGAGTCATTTATTCTCTAAATTGATATAATTTAAAAAAGACTTACGCTTGAAAGATTCTATCATTTTTTATGTAAACTAAGCTTTCATTATTAATTGAAGAAATTTGAAATGTAGTACTTTATAATTTCCAACCACAAATGTTTTAATGGTGACTTTGAACTCCATTTTAAATTATATTAAACTTTTACATATTAATCAATAAAAAAAAATAATCATTAAAATCTTCAGCATTACTTAAGTATCAAATTTATTTGAACTTTATTCTTTTAATCTTGCATATTAGCATCCAATCAATCTAATTCATAACATTTTAAAACTCATCAAATTATATGTATATATTAAA